TACATATATATTTATATATATACATGCGTGTTTGTTGCATTTTATAAAAAAAATTATACATTAATTCTGTTTTCTGCACGTCACAACAACGACGCCTGTATTTTGTGATTTATTCCTCCAACGACAGTAAAAACCGAACGTATTGAGTCTAACTATGCTACTTCCCACACAATGAATTTATCTCACACTGACTTAAGTGTTTTCGAAAACCTCACACTTCATAGAGCTTTACTTCTTTTTTTTGGCCTCCTACTGTTCTCTCAAGTGGCTTAATGATAGACGCATATGCAGAAGCCTTTTATCCTCGTCATACGATGACAAATAGTCCCAATCGTATGTCTGACGGAAACGCTCGCCTGAGCTACACTTCAATTTCCTATCACACCTCCCATTCCCCCTCCCTTGTTCGTGCGCAGTCTTATGTTCATCTACAAGATATCCAGAGACCAGTGCGTCTGACCGTCCTTCTGTATCTGTATTAATTCACGTCCTTAGTCGGATCTTCAGGTACTGAAGAATTCGTCGCAGTCTGAGTTGTTAGAGGAGCACGAGCAGGCACCGTTGATCACACTCGCGTCAGTAGAGTACCGCCCCCCGGCACCGATAGTGACCATGGTGGTTATGAATGAGGTTGTGATTATGGCCCTGAAGAACAACCATGTGATCAGAATCGATCTGCGCAACCCCAACAAGATTGAAGGTGCGTGAGTGAGGGCAGAGACGCATGTGTATGTGTGTATGTGTGTGTGTGTGGTTGTATATGAATACGACAATACAGTGCTCGCACTCGCGTCAGTGAAGTAACCACCCCCCGGTCCCCCGCACAAGCAGTGACTATGGTGGTCACAAATATAAAGTGGTGATCAAACCCATACCAGATACATCTTCTTTCGAGTTAAGTTAAAAAACGATTTAATATTCGATTCTCTTAAAACTACACTAAAATATATACTAAAAAAAATCGCAGATATCGAGTTGTCGATCAAATCATCGGATACCGTGCACCGATTGTTCTTGGACGAGAGTGGGCAGCATCTATTGATAGCACTGGTCTCAGCGGACACACTCTACCTACATAGCTCTGCGCACAAGACCAAGCCCGTGACGAAACTCAAGGGACATTTGGTGGAAGCTGTAGCGTTTGATAAGCACTACACGGATGCACAATCCAGTGGCAGTGGCAAGTATGTAGATTGTTTGTCTGTCTGTTATGTGGAAGGTCCAATGACTGACTCTTAGCTGGGTTAAATACTTTGTTTCTGTTCTGTTCACTTCGATTTTTTTATGATAAGTATATATATATATATATATATATATATATATATATATATATATATATATATATATATATGTAGTGTGTGTGTGTGTGTTGTGTGTGTG